TATCGAATACAAAGCGATATCTCCTCCTGGAAGCTCTTAAAACTCAAAATCTATGAAGAACACGATAGAGAAATGTGACTGGTGTAAAATATACTGTATTTAAGTGGTTCGTGACGTCTTTCGTGGCTTATCCCTAACAAGAGGCTGAAAACAAGTATAGCTCTAAGATTGTCTAGGATTAAGTTTAAGGCAAAAGAAAAAATTTGGTCAAAAATTGCATGATATATTTCACGATATCGATTAAGGTTCCCGAACAGTATTGGGCTTGGGGAAGTATCTTCATGTGTGCTAATATTAGTATGAGTATCAAGTGACAATCATGACCGGTACTGGCTTCAACCTGAGTTGCTTCAACCGGGACAAAATGACATGTCTTCAGTAAATTAGTATATCTTTCTAACCATAGCTCCAAATGATATTATTCTAACTCTATTAAAGAGGAAACTCAAAGATATATCCCGTCACCAATTTGTTTCCAAATTCCAATTCCAACTTATGTAACTAAACTTCTGGTGATTTTGCTCTATCTAACTTGGGAAATTAAATAACTTGTGAATACTTTGGCTTGGATGATGTATTTTACTTGTGTGAGGTGATATAGCTTTGTTTACACTTCTTTTAGTTTTTTTTGTTTCTTTATTGATAAATTTCTCTGTAAAGATAATAAAACTGTAAATACAAAAATAAACTACATTTAAAAGCATAAAACATGACAAAATACATATAAAATTGATAAAATATTGAGTATATCAATTATCACCAAAAATATGTTTTTGTTATATATAAATCTATAAGCACTTCAGCAAATAGTAATATAGAGGACAATTTTATTCAAATTTTGAAGATCCTTTATACGGTTGTGTTTAATATTTTATATCCACGGAGACCATGGACCAATCACCTAGTTATAATTTTAGAACATTTTTTTGTTCCTATAGCTCGAGCCAGCCACAAAGCATATGAAAGTAGTCGAAGCTATGATTATAGATAACTTAAGCGAATTTCGAACCTTGAACTGCTTTCGTTATGCAAGCCATATAAATTTTTTTCCTTTTTTCTAAGCCATATAAATTAAACTTAGAGAACCCAAGAAAAAAAGATAAGCATGTGAAAGGAGGAGACTAATACGAAGCATATTCACCAAATCAAAGT